GTGGGGGGGGGGGGGGAAGGATCTAGTTTGGTGCTAACAGAGCAGCGAAGAGCGCTCAAAAGGCTTCATTGTAAAAACTGCTACCGGCCTTTGGCATAAAAGAACTGTACCATATGAAAGGATTGCTCTTTGAAGTACGCTAAAGTATTAGTACTATGTTTCTTTCTGATTTCAACTAATCCATAGCTTGCCAACAGGTTCCTTTGATTCTCGAGGCAACCACATTCTCGATTAAACTCCACAAGCGACGATCTTTAGTCTTAGAGTGTCTAAATCAAGCCCCGGTCGACGGTTCAAGCGGGACTTCGTATGGTTCATTAGGTAGTTGTTCTGGGAGTTCCCAAACAGGGCCCCTCGACTTTTAGTTGATTAGGGTCTGTTGCTAATTTCCAGGAGCATACTTATACATAATCGGATAGATTGTTTAGTGGTTAATGTGTTGATTTTCAATCAATATGTTGCATTGTCAAACAGATTAATGTGAGTGGTATATGATTATAATCTTAATCTTAGCATTTGTCTAGTATAGGATTATAATAGGAAAGTATTAAAAAAAAAGCAGACAAAAGCTTGAGGAGAAGTTTGGCTTTGCTGTCGTTGCTGTTATAACAACTATTGAGAAATTTTGGATGTTTGTTTCAGCTGTTGTGATGTAAAATTAATAATAAATGTAGTTTTTAAATCTTGAGAGAATATCAACAAAAAGAAAATAAGATTTGCATTCACATATGTGTGATCAAAACAGAAGGTCATCAAAAATGAGTTCATCTAAAAGATCATCTAATATCAATTCTTCCAGCTCAAGACCTATACACTCTCCATCAAACTGCAACTTCATCCAATTGTTACCTTTCGCCAAGTTGCGACAAACAACATCATCAAGTGATTGGTCATCGAGATCATGGCTCCAACTCAATAACCAATTCACATTTGCCCAAACTTCCTCAAGAACGCGATATCCCAATGGCGTCCTAATGATATGCGAATGGCATGTCAGAGACTTTGGCCAGTAGGAATGTGATCTTTCATACATTTCTAACAAGACGTCATTGATCAAGTCGAACAGAAGAAGATGGTCACAGTTGTCCCCTGCCTCATTTTCACCACAACCAGGTTGTTCAAGTAAGCACCCTTCCACTAACTTGAAGACTGAAGGACTCAAGGGCAGCTCTGCAGAATGCCAGCTCTCAAGGAACTCGATTCTGCTAAATCCGGACATCTCTAGTATGTCTTTTACATAGTCAAACTGTGCCTTGTTTTTGTCGTCCACGTGAAGGTGCATTAGGATATTCTCCATTTCTTTCACTGGAGATCCTTGTTTCTCTACTTCAGTAGATGTTTGTGTTTCGGCCTCAGTTGGTTGGCCTGCAAATAGTTGACCATGTGCCCGTGTGTCATGCAAATTCATGTCTGGCAGAGAACTATGGCTTGCATCACAACAAGAAATGGTCTCAATATGGTTGGCATCTTGGAAGCTGTCATGCTGGTTTTCATCTGAATTAGCCTCAGATAGAGCACGAGATTCGGAACCTAAGGGAATTTGCATCTGGTTACCCTCACCATATCTTCTTAAAGTGTCATGTTGGGAATCGTCGTTTCGTAAGGTGGAGTAACAATACCTTAAATCAGGTAATGAGAGGATCCTCTCCAGGACTTTAGGGCTCCTTGTGGAAGGGGAAGGTGGTCCTGATGTCCTACAACAAGACTCCAGCAGTTGGTTATATCGCTCAGCCGATTCATGGAAATTGGCTGATGCTTTATTCGGGCACTGCGTCTCAATCCTTCCAAGAAATGAGGAATGAAATTGGATCGAACCTTGTTCGACTTGCTTGGGCATCCTACGACCGCGAGGGATCTTGTCAATCACTGCATCCATGACAATCCTTTGTCTCTCCTTTCTGCTCTCCTTTATTACAAATTTCAACTTGTCCCTTAGGTTCTTGAAATGCTTCAAACAATGCCCACTCCCATGCCTGCTCTTTTGCTCATTTGGTGAAAGTCTCGAGACGTTGTCCAAAAGCTTAGGATCTGTACACAAAGTCCTCTTCTCAACAACGCTGCATTCATTTGCAGCTTGAAACCTGCAGTCTTCCTCTCCCAACAATGAGCCATGTGAGGGGAATGTCAGAGATTTGCCTAATCCCTGTCGCAATTTAGTTGCTCGCCTGTCGTGTAACCGATGCGACAATGATGAACATGGGTCCTGCAATATTTTCAAGAACACCTCCTTTCTCATGTTAAGCAAATCTAGAGCCTTTAGAAATAGCTTTGATTCTTGTAGTGAAGCAGTGCCAGTCTGTCCATGAATACAAACCTCAATCTGCTTAAGGTCATTCATCTTTTGCAATATGGCAACACACGAATCACAAGTAATGTTCGGAGGGACATGACCGTGTCTACATATCTTTGGTAGTGGTGGATCCAACAAGCTAGAAATGGACACATTCTTGTCATGTTCCGATGTCTCTTCGCTCGCACTAGTTTGAGGCAAAGCATTGACATCTAAGGGAGGGTGAGGAGGAAGAATCATGGGATCGCTTTGCTTGATTGGTGGGCCCCGTGTGGGACACGATGAACTTCGACGGTGTCGCGCCCTTCCTCTTCTTTTTGACACTTCTTCTGTAATCAACGCTCTCAATCGAGATTTCATAGACTTAGATGTAGAACCGCTCTCTGCGGCTTTTGCTTCAATCTGAAAATCACACACAACACAAGTGCACACAAATGCTTTAACTCTTCATCCTTTTTTTCTATACATCTTATATAAAGATATGCACATAAGATCAAGAATTGTCTGTGGTGACCCACACAAATATTTCAAAAATGATAATGTAGTACATGTAAGAAGTGGTGTACAATTAGCAATTTGGAACCAGCAAAAAAAAAACAGTTATATATTACCACCAATTTAGCAGCAGCAGCAAACTTACATTGGAGTTTTCCATTTTCTCATATGCCATTTCAAACATTTCACCATTGCCACTGGTAGTTGCTTTACTCTCAAGAAGATCTTCTTCACCCACTGCAACAAAAAAAAACTTCACATACCGACTAGAACATATTTAAAAAAAAACTAAATCTTCCCTTTATTGTAATTTTCAGTTCTGCATTTTTTTTTGGAAAAATAAATCTTTTTGTGGGAGGGGTAGAATAGGAATAAATTTCCTCACCAGCATTGTGTTTTGAGCCTCCACGCTTTCTATAAGGAAGCCTTTTCTTGGTAGTGATCCATCTATTGTGGTGAAGGTGGTGCATAATTCCCCACATACATTTTGGTTGATGATTAGTATTCAGAGAAAGCCCAGACTGTTTTTGCAAGTTCTTCCCCATCATTAAACACCCAATGGATAACAGCCTCAATTTTTCTGAATTGCCTTAAGTACCATAATGTAATTAAGGGGGAACCTAATCTTATATATAACCATTATGAATCATGAAAACATGATTTTTTTTTTGTTTTTGAAAACAAAAATCCGAAAAAGGAAAAGAAAAACGTTAATAGCTATTCTTTTGTGTTGGAAATTAAAAAAAAAAAGAGATAAATGCTCAAAAAAAAGTTCAATAAAAACATGTCAATGGGGTGGAGAGTTTTTCTCTGAGTCGTATTTATATGTTGGCTGGCAAGTGGCTACCAATGAAACTCATTTTTTGCTGCCGATGTATCCGCCTACAACTCCTCTCCTACAATAATATCATACAAATTACATTATTAACCACTCCCAAGTTTATAATTATCTCTTGTTTCGTACAAGTTTGTACCCTTACGTAAAAGTTGAAAGTTACAATAAATAAATAAATAAATAAGTAAACACACACACACATATGTGTGTGTGTAAAATTGAGTGTGTTAGAGCATCTCCAAAGGGGCTTGCTATATGTGGCTTGCTATTGCTTTTTTAGCAAATGAATAGTGGTATAACAAGCCACTTTTTGCTCCCTTCTCCAACCATGACTTGTTTTACTCCGTATTATTTTATCTTCATCCCAAAATGTTTCTCATTTTGATCAACGTGCAAAACTCCATGACTTTTAAAATGATTTTATTTACAAATTTGTAAAGAAATACAAAATAAAAAATTATATTTAAAAATTACATCAAAATCTCTACAAAACAAAAGCCGATAAGAACATTTTATTTTATAGAGTAATCAATGAAAACACGCAAACAAATAAGAGTTATCGAGATGTCATAATAGTAAATGGGTAATTTTATTGGGACGGAGGGTGTAACTAACAAATTTATTTTGTTCCAATAACCATTATAATACAATAAAATACAATATTTCTTGAATTGTATTTATTCATGTAAATGTAAAACAAAAGTAATAAATATGGAGTATGTGTCAAGGAATCGATTCAATCAAAAGTTCAAGCTTGTGGTTATGTCCCATAAAAGTTATTTATATTTGTAATTAAAAAATATAAAATAAAATGTTTCTAATTAAAATAAAATGAATCAAACAACTCTTCCTATGGTAAAATATCACATTCACAGCGGAAAAAAATGTTATACGAAGTATATGTATAGTATATATCATTGCAAAAGAAAATCACATTAATTTTTGTTTAGCTATATTCTAGCATGCTTGTTATAAATAGCAAGCTGTTTTCATTTTTTAACAAGCTAGTCAAATTTTGAATCACCCCTTGGAGCATGAAATTTTGTATATGCTTGTCAAATTATAACATATAGCAAGTCATTTTGCTATGGTTGGAGTTGCTCTTAGTTGTGGTGTTGACATGTGACATGCCACATGTGCATCCACGCGTGCACTAATTAATGAGATGAGGGCATTTTATTGGTTCATTAAACTTCTTTCTTTAAAGATCTTTTAAAATATTTTATTGTACTACGGAGTATATTAAATGAATATTACGTATTTTTAAGCATGAATAAACATTACTTGATTATATTTTGTACAAAACTTTAACATTTTACAACGATTCTATAAATATATACTCCGTATTTCACTATTGTAAAATATACTCTACATTTTAAATATGCATATTGATTGTACAATTTTAAAAAAGAGTATGTATAAGACTCTCCAATATTAATTTAAAAATATTTCACTTTCAAAAAATGAAAAAACATTTCACCTTCAAAGATATTAAATTGTTTTTGGCATTTTTATATTTCATTTAATGTAATATTTTTTGATAAAATAGTTATAGAATTTTTAGTGCATGTACATCAATATTTAAAGTATACTTTTTATTTAAAAAATATACTCCGTATATCTTAGAGTGAAAAAAATATTCATTTATTATATTTATGAATGACACTAGTATATATATTATGTTTGAATATTATTATGTTACATTATAAATATAAATATAGAATAAATTTTACACATGACACACGTACCTATGCAACAAAATTTCTTGAACAACTCCTATTAATTGCGACTCTAATTGGCCTCTCACTTTCAAATATTTGGAAATAGATGTGAGCTGAGGGCAAACAGTGAGAAACTCATTTCAAAATTTCAATCCGCCTCACAATGTAACTCTTACTTTCGTATGAGTTTGTACAAACTTTGAATGAGTTTTTATTATACACTAATAACATTACAAATTTTGGAATAATCAAGAACAAGAAAGTTACACAAACTATTGTAGCTAGGGTATGAAATAAAGTAGTTGATGAATTATATTGCTTCTTCGATGCATTCTCATCACCACTAAAACCCAAAGACTCGTTAAAACTTTGGGTTGGGTTGAGTTTGACCCAATGTGTTTAAGCCTTTTTAGTCGAGTATTATGTTCTTGGTTTTTTTTGTATGGAGTATCTTTTTATAATGGTATTAAAAAAACTAGATTTCAAATTTATTTTTTGAATAATGCTATATATAAATTTGCATATATCAAAAAGTACCTATTTTGTTTTTATAAATTTGTTTGTCTAAACTCTTATGTTATAGTCGCTCAGTCCCAAAAAGATAAGGGCATATTAACTAAAATGATAAAATAAGGAAGAAATAATTTTGTACTACGTATTAATTTTTCAAAAATACATGATGGTTAAAGTAGGATGTGATGTATAGAATATTGGGAAAAAAATATGATGTTATAAGTAGTGTATGAAAAAGTAAAACGTAAAACTGTTTTTTTATTAGAAACGAAAAAGGCTTTTGGGAACATGAATTTTTTTAAACGTGAAGGACTTTTTAGGACGGAGGAGTATTTTATTTTAATCATAGTGTGCTTGAATTGTTTTTTCGAGACATGATGATGTTAACAAATTTTTGCTAGGCCTAAATTTTTTTCTATATATACTCCCTCCGTCCCTAAATATTCACAACATTTGCTTTTTCAGCAGTCGTAGGAACTTTTGTTTATTTCGACGTTTCCATTGGTTATTTGATAAAATAAAATATTCTTGACACTTCTTATTTCGAAAAACTTTTCATGTAATTTGTTTATATGTAAATTTTATTTTTTATTTTTATACTAATATGTAAATAAAATGAATTGAAAAAACTTGATATTTTACCTCGGGAATACAAATGTGGCAAATAATTTAGGACGGATGGAGTATTTGATTACCTTCTTTGGGTTTGGGGAAGGCTTAATTTTTAACTTTGTGAATAGGTGCTCGAACTCGTTGGATGGATTCGAACTCATTATCTCTGGGTCATGAGGATTCATTCATCAACCCGGTTTTGATAATACTGAATCCAAATCCGACCCGGCCAACCGTTATGCAAGGTTTTGTTTTCAGCATCGTGATCTCCATTTTGAATCATATCCAACACGAGGATAGTGTAACCCCCCCTTGTTTGGATGCATAACATAAGATGTCATCATATCACTCTTTCCTTTATTGCCCCTCTCTCTCTCTCTCTCTCTCTCTCTCCTCATGAGAAAATACATTGCCTTGCTAAACCTTCTTCTTGTACATAGTAAGATCTGATCTGTCTCTCTCCCTCTCTCTATCAGATATCATATGCAAACTTTATTTATTTATTCTACCCTATAATATGAATCAGATCTACCCCATATATCTTTTTAGTTTTTCTTAAATTAGTTAGTTTCTCAGCTGAATTGGAACACCCTTTCCTCTCTTGATGAAGATCACAAGAACCCATGCATGAAACCCACCCTTTCCCTCTCCTAGAGGAAACCTTTACAACCTTCCATCACCTCTCCATTTATTTTTTCCTTCACCTTTTCTTTTATTATTGTTAGCTAGAGAGTATTGTCATTCATATGGCCTCACAAGAACAGAGCTCCGGCGGCGGCGGCCGCAGAGCGGCGGCCACCAGGCCGCCGCAAGATGGTGCGGCCTCCGCCGCCGCCGCACTCAAGTGCCCCAGATGCGATTCCCCCAACACCAAGTTTTGCTACTACAACAATTACAGCCTTTCTCAGCCCAGACACTTCTGCAAGACTTGCAGAAGGTACTGGACCAGAGGGGGCGCTCTCCGGAGCGTCCCCATCGGAGGCGGTTGCCGGAAGAACAAGAAAGTGATGAGGCCTTCGTCGGCGGCGAGATTTTCCGGCGAGTCCTCGTCGTTGGATATCGGCGGGTTCAAGCTCCTCAGCGGCCTCTCTTCCCCCGCCATGGACTTCCAGCTCGCCGGGCTGAACACTCCGCCGCCTCCGCCGGCTTTGAACCGCAACTCTCCGGCCGCCGCCGGAGTCGGCCTCTTCGGCCACCTCTCGTCGCCGCCGATGATCATCCCGTCATCGCCGAGCTCGTGTTTCAACATCGTCGACC